CGGCCCAGTCTGGGGGACCCCAGCCTGCTGCTTGGGGGCCTGCCCGGAGGGGCAGATCGCTCGCTGAGCACAACAGGCACTGCAGAGAGCCTGAGCCAATTCCCCGCTGCGTCACCTCTCTGCTGGGCGTATGGAAGGAGCCCCCCAGAGGCAGGGGCTGGGTCCTCGCGCCCCGCTCTGCGGTCTACCCCCACAGCGGGGGAGGGACGCGGCCCCGGAGCAGGGCTAGAGCGAGATTAAGGAGGGAGGGCACCACGGCCACGCCCCGAGCTCCGGGAGGCAGGGGGCAGAGCGAAAGCTCCCTGGCACTGAGATGCAGCTGCCTCTGGGGTGGGGCGGGGCAGCTGTTTAACAGCTGTATGGGAGGGGACTGCTTCTACCATGCGGCCCTTCACTCCTGGTAGATAACCCAGGAGTCCTGGCTCCCAGCACCCCTGCTCTAACCACTAGTCCCCACTGCCCTCCCCGAGCTGGGGCGAGAACCCAGGAGCCCAATTGCAGAGCCCTGATTCTGTGGCCCACGGCTCCAGCCCAGAGCACGGCCATGCCCGCTCACCTGGTGGCCACCTGGTGGCTGTAGAGCCGGCCTCCGTCGCTGGAGAACACCCTGGCCAGGCCAAAATCTGCGATCTTCAGCTGCCCCGTGGAGCTGATGAGTAAATTGGCTGGTTTCAGGTCCTGCAGGACACAGTGAAGGGGTCAGGGGAGGGGGCCGGATGCCGGGGGGCAGCGGGAACAGGGGAAGGGGCTGGACCCACCCGGTGCATGATGTTATTGGCGTGGCAGAAGGCGACCCCCTGCAGCAGCATGAGCATGTATCCTTTCACCTGGGCCTGCGAGAGGGGCTGCTGGGCACTGCGGATCACCTCGGCCAGGTCCGACAGCATGTACTCGAACACCAGCACGAACCCTGCGCCGTGGGGGAACACGGCCTTCAGCTTCACCACCTGGCACGGGCGACGGGGCAAAACCATGAGCCCATCTCCCCCGGTATCCTGCCTGGCCTCCCACCTCCAGCCCACCCACTCCAGTATCCTGCTGCTGTAGGAGAACATAGTAAAGTATTAAAAATGATTCCCCCGAGTGGGTAGAAGTTTAAGTAGAAGAAGCATAGAAGTGTTTAGATTTATTCTTGTGAAAGTGTTTAGATTTAGTGTTATCAAGCTTGATAAGTGTTTAGATTTATTATTATTATTATTTGTTAAGATTGTTACATGTTTAGATTTATAATTATTGCCCCTCTAGAATGTAATTTGTTAGGAATGTAACATTAGGTCATGTAACTGAAACCTGTTACGAATATAACCCTACGGAGCCAGACACAGCTCCCCCTGGGACCCAGGGCACTGCTTGTCAAGCCACTACCTCTGCGCTGGGAGCCAAGCCCTGTCATTGACCAAGGGCCTTGTTACACAATCCACGCCCGTCTCTTCAAAGCATCGTAACTACAGCAGTCACTAACTCAGCAGGCAGAGAGAGAAGGGTTTGAGAAATGCCTCCCAGACACTACAACTGGAGGTCCCCCCATGAGATCACTGACAAGCACCTGGCAGCCACTCTGGACACCAGCATGATGCAGCAATTCCCATAGACTGGCATAGGAAGAAATATATATATTATTATGATCATCTTTACAATAAATGTGGCTTTTTGCCTTATCCCCCCTCGTAAGATCCTGCTTGCTTTTACTGGTACAACAGTGCCCTGGACCAACTCCAGACGAGCACCCACCCATTCTTCATTTCCTAGCATCAATGGGGAGGGAGGGAGGGAAGAAAGAAAGAAAGAACTAGATGAATAATTGATTTCTTGGGTCTCTGGGTGAATTAAATGACCTAAGAAAAAAACTGGTTAGTTTTGAACTGAACTTTTCCAGTTTTTCAGGCTGAAAACAACCAACCAATCAACCAACCCCGATGGCCCAGAAGCGCCCTTGTTGAAGTGTGTT